CTGCATCCACTCAGACGAGCATCTCTTCCCATCCCCTCAAAGGTGCCCTTTGACAGGGGGACTCCAAGTCCTGGGTTCGAGGCCCCACTCCATCACCAAGTATCCTATGCAACTCTGGACAACACTCTTGGACTCTGCTCCCTTAAAAAGTGGGATCTCACCTCAGACCTTTGCAGCCCTTCCAAAGAGAGTGCTTCTCCCCAGCACCCCAAATTCCACGTGTCCAAATCTTTCTGGCACTCTACCTCCAAGTGCCACCTTCTCTATGATCCTGTCCCTACTCGACAGCCCACTGTGCCTGGCCCTCCAAGGTCGGAGGACTCACATCATGAAATTCCCTTATGGCTGTGTGCCATTTCAGTCTCCCAGGGTTTTTATTGTCCCTCCAAGTGCTTCTCTGCACACTCAGAATAAAATGGAAACTGTTTTCCTTCCTCCAGTCCTGCCCAATCTGGCCTGTACCCCCCATTTCCTGATGCATCTTCAGACATCCCCTTGCTCCATACGAGCCACAGTGACCTTCTTACTGTTCCTCAGCTTGTTCCACCCTCAGGACCTTTGCACACACTGTTCCCTCTGTGTGGAACCTTGGTGTGACCAGCTCCTTCTCATCCTTCCAGATCAGCCAAATGTCACCTCCTCTGAGAGGTCCTCCCTGATAACCTATCTATAACACCCACCCCAGCCCTTCCATCAACCTCTTCCTCCCTCTTTCCTGCTTTATGTTCTTTCTTAATACTTATATTAAGAAAGTATATGGTAGATTTCATTCCTTTGTTACCAGAAGGTCAGCTCCTTGACAGCCAGAACTTTATTTTATTACTTTGTCCCCAGTGCCTAGCACAGGGGCTGGCATCAGGGAGGTGTAAGTAAATTATCTGTGAAAAGAGTAAATGAATAACCAGAAGAAATGCATCTCTCTCCTGACATATACCTGAGCGGCTGATTGCATCTTGCTGAGATGGTTTTTAAAGTATGTTGAATAAATGAATGAATGAATGAATGAAAGAAAGGCATTTTTGTCTCCCCACCTGTAGTAGACACTAATGTTTGGTGAATGAATGATTGACTCTTACCGTGCCCTCCTCTATAAAAGGTTAAGAAAGAAAGAAAAA